CACAAAAGGTTCAACATAAGCCTCTATATCACATATAGGGGAGATAGTACAATGCAAAAAAGCTTGAAGTTTGGACAAGCCAAAAAATTTTAGTTTTTGCCCAGCTTTTCCAGAAAATAAAGCAGGAACATCTAGATTAGAACTTCGCTTTAAGTAAAAAAAAAAACAACATATATTCTAACCATAAAGATGCAACAAGTTAAAATATTTTCGCAACAGGCGGTACTTTGTGCTGTAGAAAAAAATGTTTATGAACGAGGTGTGACACTTTAATCCACCGCAGGTAGAGCTCACCTAATCCACCGCAGGTAGCGCTAATCCACACTTAAATTTAAAGTGTGAGCAATGTTAACGATGCAGCTACTGTGCCGGATAAAGTGGCTCACACTGGTAGATAGAAACTTGCACGTGTGGTGTGTGTGGGTGTGTGTGGAATAACTGGAGCAGATATTTGCCACATTGGAAGGCTAGACAGAGCATCGAACGACCAGGAGCGAGCGGGCATATTTTAAAAAGAGATTAGCCCTAATCAATTGAAAGATATATTATCCCAAAACAAATTTAAAAAAGAGATTAGTCCAAAAAAATTTAAAAAGAGATTAGCCCAAAACAAGTTGAATGAGGGATTATTAGCCCTAAATATTTTGAAAGAGAGATTATCACAAAACAATTTGAAAGAGAGATTATCACAAAACAATTTGAAAGAGAGATTATCACAAAACCACTTTAAACAAGAAGTTAGATTATAAATACTTGAACGTAAACATTTAGTCCAAAACAGCTTACGGACAAGTTAGCCCTAAAAAAGATTGAAAGTAAGGTTAGTATATAAATAATTTAATTGAAAGATAAACATAATAGCCCATACGTTGATAACAAAAACATATTAGTATATAACCAGATTAAAAGTAAAACATTTCAGCCCATAAACAGCTTAAAGACCAATTTTAGTCTGCACACAATTCTCTGATAATTGCAATCTTCCCTAAGATTAGCCCCTACTTGCTTCTATAGAGGGGTTACCTTTGATATACTTTGAGATCCACTGCTATTCAGCTCGCTTCGAGCAGATAATGAAGTAAATGATGGCACTAATGAGGGTTGATTTCATCAATCAACACCATAATTATCAGAGCGCGTGAGATCCCCCACCCCCGTCGTGGATGACGTCATTAGTGCTGGTCATTAGACTGACGCAACTAGCCTGTCCCTGCGTCATGATTAATTAATTATTCTAAATTTATCCCAGAACCCATTCGCATTTAAAAAAAAAACACTTTTAATTTAAAAATGAGTTAAATACGATTAATAAATGTAAAATAATGTCAGGGATTAAAAAAAAATGTTAATTCAATATATTTGAGACAGTTTATTTTTGGAAACGGAATCCATTTTGTGTAATTGACAGCTGGTTGAAAAGTTGACCACTGTAAAGATAACAAAGAAGAATCATGCATGGATTGGCGAGGTGAGTCAATCAAAGTCTGACTCCCCGACTGACTCTTGTAAGACTCAAGTCAATATTGCATCTTCTGTAAAATACACGGCAACTCTAGGTAGGTTTGAATGGAAATAGTTACAGTAGGCCTACTTACTCTAAAGACATGTCAAGCTAAGTGTACCAATACCTACAGGCTCAAAACTATAGTAATATACACAGTGCACGAAGGTTCATTAGTTCAAAACCTGTTTACCCTAACATATGTTTGTCAACGCCGTTTGCCCGAACATGGGTTTATGAAAATGATCGAAAAACACTTTCCTGAACCGACATTAGCTCAAAATCCGTTTGCCCGAATGGACTTTTGTCAAAGGCCGTTAACTCAAATGCGAAAAATGCCCAAAATGGACGAATGCTCAAAAGCCAACTAATTCTATGAACGGGATAATCATGGCTTACTGAGTACTCAACTATGCGATATAACACTATTTCAGAGTACTTAACCTCAGTATATCACAAAACAGATATAGATCTACTAATAAACTAACGAAATGTTTTTAGCACCCAGTACTAACCTTCATACCGACAAGAAAATCGAAGTACTCTTGCATTAACTTTTATAGTCTTGATGTACTGAGTACTAATCAGCTTCGTTTCGACTACACGCACCAAGTACTACAGCTTTATAAAACACGCATGCGTGACGCACTAACTCACACTAATTTAGTTAATTAGAAGAGTAACATCATGGTGAGACACCAATTAAAAGGCTAATCAAATTAGAACATATCTGCAGGCAATAAATTAGGTAATAAAATGGCCGGAGGGGGTTGGGCAGTTCTTGAGAATGTCGAGACCCTGAACAACCGGAAGCAGAGAGAAATTTGAAGTCCCGGGCTGGGGACTGAAGTGGATGTTGATTGGCTGGAAATATGGCTCTATGGGGGGGCTCAAGTTGTGCTGGGCGCTATGGGGGGTGAGAAGTATTTTTTTTCCCTAAATCAACATCGTGACGTCAATATGCCTAGGATGTGTTTTTTTTTATCATTTGTTTCATCTGAAAAGATCGCAGTTGAGTTTTTATGTACGAACATGTTTGACATTTTTAAAAAACCGGAAGTTGAGCTTTTGTCGTAAACTTTCTTTCAGGGGAGGTAAAAAAAAGAGTGTAAACAGACGGTAAACATTATGGTCACGTGGTGGTGCGATCACGTGATTCGAGCGAGCAGATGAAAGGTAGTGTAGACGTGTACAAGGCAACCAGACAAAACAAACATGGGGAGCAGCATCGCTTCATGGAAATGTCATTAGTGAGAGTCGATTACATGGCTAAAGGGGGTTTAACGTTATCAGAAGTGTATGTTTTGGAGGGTTTGTATGTTGTGGAAAATCTGTATGTTGTAGCGACTTGTACTTTGTAGAATATTTGTATGTTGTACCAGGCGTGCATGTTGTAAAATATTTTAGACTTGTATGTTATATAAGAAGTGTATTTCTTCTTTTTCTTCATTGTTCTTAATTTTTGTGTCGGAACAATTAAATATACTTGTTATGCACCATAGGTCGTTGACTCCGATTTCAGCCTGCTTTTCTTTTTGGATTTGCTTCCATAGCCTTTGTCCAACAAAGAACAAACTACAAGGCAGTAGTTGTTTTATTTTGGAGTTCTTTCTCCTAAAAGAGTGGCTGTCTCCAGCTGTCGAGCCTCATCTGCCAGGGGGTTCAAACTCGAGACATTTCAGTTTAGCAACTATGAGCTTTACGGAATCGACCACGCCGACCTCTAGACGTGTATTTAATAACAGACTTCAGACTTGTATGTCATATGAGAGTGTATGCAGAAACATACTTGTAAGAGATTTGTTTGTTGAATCAGACTTACATGTTGTAGCCGACTTACATTGTCATCTTCTTTAGTTTACATATCTTCGCCTTGAAATGGTTAGCAAACACGTTGAATTTCATTTTTATTATGTTTTTTTCTTTAACAGAACGTTAGGAATTTTTTTCCCATCAGCATTTCAAAGAAAAAGTTGAGTCAGAAATTTTGCAGGATTTTGTTAGTTATTTATCTCTATAAGTTAATGCGCCATGATAATGTTTATATAAATAATTAGGCCTAGGGTAATCATTGCGGGAAAGCATCTGGCAGAGGCAGGACTGTAATGGGGGACTGCCAGGACAATTGCCGCTGGAGGGTGCTTTCTGTGGGGGCCCCATGTGTCCTTGGCACAAAAGGGAAAATAGCAACGAGTGTAATCGTTAAATAGAAGATTCATATCATAGTCGTATGTTATTGACGATAATGCTTTCCATAACGTAAAAAAAAACAAAAATAAATAATACCAACATAATCTATGAAGTTTACCTGGCATATTTTTTCTGTCTTTACAAATACAATATTTTACATAAAGCAGCAACCTTCAGTGTAAAACAACATCAACGTTTAACTTCGCTGACCAATTTTATTTTAACGATTTTTCCTACCGATATTTTAATTCACCTGAGTTTGTTAATAGCCATTAGTGGAAATCAATACGAGGATTTTTATCGTGTCAATTGATTTAATTACTGTGTAATTAGTGCCATGATTAAATGCCATGATATGCCAATGATGAGTTGTAGAGGGTGGTGATGGTTAGAATACATTACTACGTAGCCATTGCAAGCTACTTTATTCCATGTTTTTGGGAGCGATTTTTGAAAACGGAAGTCTAGTGTTTCATGAACTTTTAACTCGGGTCTCGACTTCGTTTTGATAGGAATTTTGGCTCAAGCTTCATGGAGCCATTTTTTTTTAACTTTACCTACACAGGTTAGATTTTTCTTTACGGCAATCTAGATGTGATTATTAAATATTAAGGGTCCTGGAAACTTCGCAAGTTTGATGTATATGTATGTGTGACTGTGTGTGTGTGTGTGTGTGTGTGTGTATGTTTGGTTTTGTGGTGGTTGAGTTTTTTAAACCGGAATTCTGGATTTTATTTTATACGCAAGCTGCCAGTTTTTGCCTTAGAATTTGGACATTGTGTTTCTGTGAGAAGGTTACCTGGGCACTGACTTACCTGGAAGAGGCAGGTAGGCATTTGGAAGACTGTTGTGTTTCTGTGAGAAGGTTACCTGGGCACTAACTTACCTGGAAGAGGCAGGTAGGCATTTGGAAGACTGTTGTGTTTCTGTGAGAAGGTTACCTGGGCACTAACTTACCTGGAAGAGGCAGGTAGGCGTTTGGAAGACTGTTGTGTTTCTGTGAGAAGGTTACCTGGGCACTAACTTACCTGGAAGAGGCAGGTAGGCGTTTGGAAGACTGTTGTGTTTCTGTGAGAAGGTTACCTGGGCACTAACTTACCTGGAAGAGGCAGGTAGGCGTTTGGAAGACTGTTGTGTTTCTGTGAGAAGGTTACCTGGGCACTAACTTACCTGGAAGAGGCAGGTAGGCGTTTGGAAGACTGTTGTGTTTCTGTGAGAAGGTTACCTGGGCAACTTACCTGGAAGAGGCAGGTAGGCGTTTGGAAGACTGTTGTGTTTCTGTGAGAAGGTTACCTGGGCACTAACTTACCTGGAAGAGGCAGGTAGGCGTTCGGAAGACTGTTGGTGCGGGGTCTCTGGGCGAGCTCTATGTCAATGTTAAGTTTGGGGCGGGGGCGGTTCTTGAAGGAGGACGAGCGGGAATGGGGCGCCGAGTGGGGCGCGTCCAACTTGGGCGCCGAATGGAAAAAATGTTCGTCGTCGGGGATTCTCTCCCCTTCAATCAGGATGTCCATGTAATGGACATCCATGTTGGGCTGCAGGGGTCACAGGGGTCAAAGGGTCGGTACCCGTCTGGCTCGCAGGGGTCTTTTGCCGCCTGGGTCACTGGGTCTTTTGCCGCCTGGGTCACAGGGGTCACAGGGGTCACAGGGATCGGTACCCGTCTGGGTCACAGGGTCTTTTGCCACCTGGATCACTGATATCTTTTCCTGCTTGAGTCACAGGGGTCTTTAGTCTCCAGGGTCACAGTATGTGTAGCCGCCTGGGTCACAGGGGTCAGGTGTTGCCTGGAGTAAACCTGGGTCCTTATGGGTCGAAGCTGGGTCTTCAGATTTCTCAGTCTACATCAATGTTATGGCGCCTTTGAAATAAAACAAATACAAGAGATTTAATTATTTAGACACAAACGCACATACGAATATTTATTTCAATATAGACCTAGAAAACAAATTCCCAGCATATCAATAAATAAAGGCATATAAAAAAATCGCCACAGACATACATCAATTTATAAAGAAGCATACGAAGATACATAAATAGGCTTAGAGTTATAAAGAACTTAAAAACCATTACACAGTTATAAAGGAAAAAATCTCACGGAACTTTAAAAAAAAAGTTTTTAAATTTAAAACGTTTATTTAACGCGCCAGCTATATGTGTTGCTACGTCAACAAAAAATGGAATTCATTTTCTTCTCAATCCTTTTTTTTTTCATTTCCGGTATACGGTTTATTTCCGGGTACCACGTGATAACCAAGGGTAGTTTCACACTGTAACGTCTTTATGAATGTGTATGTGTGTGGTCTTGTATCGTGAGCCGATACACATTTTCGCAACGTCAAATCGATCTTGATTCGATTGAAATGTGTGTATGTGTGTGAAGGTGTATGTAAGAGTGAATGCGTATAAGTATTTTTGTGTGTGTGAATATGTATGTCGTGTTATCGTATATTTATGCATGCGGGTTGATTGACCTATGCGTAGAGTTGGGAGGAGGGGGGGGGGGGGGGGGGCGAGGGATGGTGTATTGGGAGTAGAGTGCCCAAAGTGAACGCCGCGAAAATTTAAGTTGTCTTATGTATGAGCGACACATACACTCAACACACACATATACACATAGACACGCATATATATATATATATATATATATATATATATATATATATATATATATATATATATATATATATATATATATATATATATATATATATATATATATATATATATATATATATATATATATATATATATATATATATATATATATATATATATATATATATATATATATATATATATATATATATATATATATATATATATATATATATGAAAAACTGACCCCCTTCAGATGATAAAATCCTCTATGTGTGTATGCTAGTGTATATATGTATATATCTGTGCGTATGTGCGGGTGTCTTGTTCAACTCTCTATGACGAACCAAACCACGTGCCCGTCCAATGACACTCCTACCACAGACCACAGACCACAGACAGACAGACACTACAAATGTACACCAAATATCAGACATTTTCACCGTCATGTCTCCCCTACGACAGACAAACAGACAGACACTACAAATGTACACCAAATGTCAGACATTTTCACCGTCATGTCTCCCCTACGACAGACAAACAGACAGACACTACAAATGTACACCAAATGTCAGACATTTTGACCGTCATGTCTCCCCTACGACAGACTACAGACCACAGACAGACACTACAAATGTACACCAAATGCCAGACAATGTCAATACTCCCCATGGGTGTATCCAATATATTTCAGACCACTGGGTATTACACACTAGAAATGTTTCATAAAGAATCCGATACCCTCACATTTTTTCTCTTATTGTTTCAACATTTTTTTTCTCTTTCTATCCTACTTATTTTATCATTACAGCTTTCTTTTTCAAACTAATTTTTTTCTTTTTTTTTCTTGTAATATTTTTTTATCCTAACATTTTTAAAATCTTTTTCTTATTTTTTTCCTAACATCATACTTTTAACACCAATGTTTATTACACAAGAGAGACATTTCGCGGAAAAATACAACCTCAGTAAAACCTAGTACACAACAACCTTTGAAACATTTTTGTTACACATAGACTAACCCTTACCACCAGACTTCGCGGCTATATTGATCGTTATTATGTACCTGTCTAAGCCTAATATTTTTCTGTTTTTGTCTTTTAACATTATTTAAATCCTAACATTTTTTAAATGTTATTCATTTATTTTTCCAAACTCTTTACTTGCAACACAAATGGTTACACAAGACATACATTCTAAACAACAAACATCCCAATGAACAGACATTCTGCATAAGACATTTCACAGAAACAGCCCACCAATAAGACCACTTACTCAACAACCTTTGAAACATCTTATTACACCTTTAACACCTTTAACACCTTTAACACCTTTAACGTCTTGACACATTTAACGCATTTGACACCTTTAACACCTTTAAACCATTTAACACCTTTAACACCCTTAACACCTTTAACACCTTTAACGCCTTTAACGCCTTTAACACCTTTAACCCCTTTAACACCTTTAACACATTTAACACCTTTAACACCTTTAACGCCTTTAAAACCTTTACCAGCTTTAACACTTCAACACCTTCAACACCTTTAACACATTTAACACCTTTAACACCCCGACTAGCCCCTACCATCTCACATGGCAACTAATAGACAGTCATCAAGTAAAGTATTTTCTAATATACCTGACGATTCATTGGGCAGGTACAGTATTACCTGTTTCTTTAACCTCGGCATGTGTCGTATCGTGTAGCCCGCACTATGTGCAGCACATACCATATCACATACACAATATCTTCCCATTACACAACAATCATAACTTCTCTTACGATGCTAGCCACAACTTTAGCTGACTGTTTAATTTCTTGACGAAATTTAATAAAAGAAAGCTCAGAAAACACTGAATCTTGTTGTATTATTTACAGTTTTTATTTATTTCTTCGTATACAACCGCGAACGATATTTTTTTAACCGCGATTTATACTCGCCAAGGGAGGTTATCAAAACTGAATTATTAAACAACCAAAAACAAATGCGATGTTAAAAATGTTAAAGGGAAGCTATTCAAGCCTTATCGCTGAAGACAAGTTGTCGCCCGTTGTTTTGTATTTTAAGTTAGCTTTTTTTTTCTTCTTTTAATTTTTTTTTCTTAAGTTAGACGTTCTCTGGAAGTGACGTAGAAAAATTGCTTATTGATCGGCTGCTGTGAGGAAAAAAAACAACAAAAAAAAACAAAACAAAAACAACACAGCAAAAATCAGGTTGTCATTCTACCAACAAACAACACCCAAAAATATCATACCGGAAATAGTTGGGCACGTGAGCGGGGTTGACATTTGACCGAATTAAGTCGACGGCTATTTTTAGACGAAAATGAAAGCAATTGTTTCTGACAGTTTAGTCGTAGCGGAGAGAATTCATGCAATGATTGAAGCACGGCAGGTAGAACAATCATGCAATGATTGATCCAGGACAAATATCAAGCAACGATTGAACTAGGACAGAACAATCATGTAATGATTGATCCAGGACAAATATCAAGCAATGATTGAACTAGGACAGAACAATCCTGAAATGATTGATCCAAGACAAAAATCTGTCAATGATTGAACTAGGACAGAACAATCCTGCACGGATTGAATAAAAAGACAAAAATCTGACAATGATTGAACCCACACATCTTTTCGCTATGGGTTAAACGCTTTAGTGGGTGTTCGCATCCCTACTTAATCGTGTGTTAAACTATATTCAACTTTTAAATATAAAATCGATACAACTTTAAAGCCGATGTTATTGTCGATTACTTAAACGCCGTTCGCAATAAGTGAACGATTACTTTTAAAAAGTCGATACTTGTTTCGTTTTGGCGATAGACATACAAATAAAATAACCGAAGCTGTTTAAAAGACAATAGTGATTACTAAAATACCGTGTCAAAATAACGTTAACATTTGAAAACCCACTGGCAGATTATTCTCGATAGCTGGGGACAGCAACTCTTCTAGGAGAGACAACTCTAAAATCTAAGAACTGCTGCCTTGTAGTTTGTTCTTGGGCGGACCAAGGCTACGGAGATAATCCGGTAAGAAAAACAGGTTGAAATCGGAGTCAACGGGCGCTTAATAAGTTGACTTGTAATACTTAATTACAATTTAGAACGCAGAAGAAATTTGATATCCGACATTGTTGTCAGATACTAATCTACACATAAAATAGCAGGTCTTCCCGGGTCGTGAACCTAGTGAAATGTGTTAACATTACAAACACTACGACCAGTTAGATTTAAAACAATGAAAAAGTTCCTTCTGAATTTAAATCTTCTAAGCTTAACTTCCATATACGCACAGGTGAAGTAGATTGTGTGTTGTTTGATACAAACAGAATGTGGTTTAACTTAACTGTACTTTATAGAAATCAAATTACTAACTCATAAAGGCACTCAAAGGTATCCTCAGACTCTTGGTCGGATCAAACTCGAGACAAACTGCTCTATCGTTTGACCAAGCCATCCCATTAAACCTGTGCTGCCTTCTTTAGGATTAACGTAAGGTAATTATACTAATGAGAGACTTCTTATAAAAAACCAATCGAGCAGCATTCTCTAACCCAAATATCACTCAATCCCTACTTTCAATTCACTTACGTCTTGCCTATCTTAAGTTTAAAAAACAGTTTTACTCTGTTAAAGAGCAGCAACTCGATATTTTAAAGGGAGATAATATTTCTTTGTATAAATAATATTAATTCAGGTACAAAGTTTTAAATTACAATATTGTAGTGATTATGTTAGATGTGTTTTGTAGGGTTATTGTTTGTAAACATTGGAGAAGGATCAGAGTAACGTACCTTGTGTTAAATATTTGTTTAAAATAATATATTAGAAATTTCGTTTGCGGTATAAACTTTAATTAGTTCAATAAAAAGATAGAAGATTATAGATAAGTAGATATATATTGTAGAGATTAGTGTTATTTTAGGTGTGAGCTAGAGATTGCGGGGA